TGCCTGCGCTCCCAAGGACCGTTGGAGGGCAGGCAGGCCTCTAGCGTTCCCTCGCTGCTGGGTGCCGTTGCGGTTTCTTTAATAGGGACTGAGTCGCTCTGTCTACACGCCTCCGAAGTAGGTAGGATGCAGTTTGACCTGGGGAATGCTGAAGAGACCAGTGCCCTTGTCCACCCAGGCTTCTCTGTAGAGCCTTTCCATGAGCTGCTGTTTGCGTGGGGAAGCATGGACAATCCTTGCCTAAGTGGCTGTTTTGTGCTTTAATTACACTAGAAAAACTGATTCTTCATTTTTCTTTCCCTTTAGAAATAAGGAGATAAAAATTAGCTCAGGCATACTTAAAGAGCCCGGTATCACCTGTGGTATGCTGTGTGGCCTGTTGCATTGTGTCCTGTTGTGTTCTGGAAATGCTACTGGAGAATCCATATAAAACTGGTGAAATGCAACTGTTAAAGCTATTTCTGTTGCAACTGTGAATTGCTCTTACCAAGTAGGTCATGGGCCCTGGCTGACTGAAGAGATGAGACTTAACAAGGAGAATAGAGAGCTGTAGACAGAGACTTTGGAGTGAAGAGGTATGCGATCACAGGCCTTTCTTTCCTCTGGGGCTTTCACTGGTACATGTCTGGACCACAGGGACTGATTGTGTGCATCCAAGTAAGACCTCAAGGAACCCTAAGAAAAATAACTTTGTAGACTCTAAACTGGTAGCTGGGGGCTGAAGGTGATCTGAGCTGCAGTTGATGCCCTTAGAAGACCTGCCCCCAAGCACGCCCTTACCATTGTCGAGTTTGACTAAAGCTGGGTGGAGCAGTTGAAGGCTGGCTCATGAGGAATGTCTTTGGCCCCTTCTAAAGCAAACTGTTAACTGGGTCCAGGGTATTGGTTGACGTTTTTGGTATAAGTGGCTGTTCCTTTCAAAATTTTTCTATTTGTGGCCCAGTAGACTCTAGAATTCTCAAGAGTTATGAGTGGAGATAATATAATTATGAAGAGAGCTTGGCTGATTCTTGAGCTAAACATTCCATGTTTTTACCTGTGTACATTATTTGAATGTAACTCTAATAAGTACTAGTTAGACCTAGAAGGATGGTTGTGTGTTTTAAAGTACATTGAGACTCTAGGATGAAATATGAGCTGTAGCTAAAGAACAAGAACTTTTTAAATAGTTAAGTTGTTCTACTATAATCAAAGTGATTTTGTTCTTAAAAATCCAACCTTGACTGATAGACTTTAATGATTTATGGTCTCTACTTGATTAATGAAGCTCTCTCCTCTTAAATAATAGGCTGATGCTTATACATAGTGTCTAGCACTTTGCAGGATTCAATTTCTG